TTCCTGGTGGACTATATTTTCTCAGTGAAATTAAGCTAAAAGGTGTGAGGTTTGTGTGGATTATTAATAGAATAGAGTTCTTGAGTTGAATGGTCAAGATGTTGATTTTGTGCCACGGACCATTCAAATTTTGTGCATGTGTGCGAGCATTTGAACATTTGAATATTGAATAGATAATGAAGAATTATTGAAACTCTTATTATTGAAAGCAAAGTCAGGAGAATGTTTGTGGTCTGTTTATACTTGTCACCTTCCTTATCTTTCCGACATCTGGCATCTCCAGAGCCATCCTTCTGTCAGAAGGGCCAGTGAGATACTGCTGTGAAAGTTAAAGCAAACCCATTTGTTATAAATGAGAGGTAGGGCATATAACACTCAGTGCTCATCACAACACCTGCCCTCCTTAATACTCATTTCATTTGGTGTGCTCCCTCTTTGGCTCTGTGAATGAATCATTGAACACTACATCAAAAACTGATGAAGTACTATACAGTGGCTAACTGAACATAATAAACAAAAAAGAATTAAAAAAATAAAAATAAATGAGATGTAGGGCTTGGAGGCCAGTTTCACTGGCTCCCATGCCATTAGAAAACTTAGGATCATTGTCCATAGTGCTCTAGGGTTGGAAGGTTGTAACTTTTGGTTCTGAGGAAGAGCGACGATCGTACACAAACTAGAACAGATAAAAGAGATTAGAGGCTGGAAGTGGTGGGGAGAGCACTTCATGAATACGGAAAGCTCCAGGGTGGAAAGAACAACATGACACTCCTTCTCTGCCACCCTGTGCAGTATTGTAGACAAGGTGCTCAGTGCTGTTCTCTTCTCACAACTTACCAGACAGTCACTTAGCACAGTAAGGGCAAACCACTAACTTTGTGAGGGTCACTAATCATTTCTGTCATCACAGGAACTAACTAGGAGAGCTACATTATGCACACAAACAAAAAAACCCAAAACTTTACATTATCTCATCACTTAAGCTGCATCCCACAGGTTTGATATTCATTATCACTAATTCATAAATATTTCCTAATTTCTAAAATATTTTTGAACCATGATGTTTACTAGAAATGTATTATTTGATTTCTAAGCACTTTGAAAATGTATTCAAAGGTTAATAGCCCTTTGCTCAGAGAACATACTGTGAGTGATTTCAGTCATTTTAAATACATTGAGTCATATGTTATGAACCAGCATGTGGTCAATTTTGGTAAATATTTTATGTGTACTTGTTAAGAATGTGTCTCCTGTTGTTACTGGAGACTTTGTTTATGTAGGTCATAGACTCAGTTTTGTTTAGAGCTACTCATCTCTGTTGTTACTGATATGTTGCCTATTTGTTTTTCTTTTCTGTGAAATTTTGATATAGTTTGAAACTTTGCTTCATATAGTTTGCTTTATACCTACAGTTTATATATTCATGGGTGCATACGTATTTATAATTGTATTTTCCTGATGGATTGACCCCTTTATCACAATGTTATTTCTCCCTTTTATCCCTAATGATGCTTCTAGCCTTAAAATATGCTCTTTCTAGAAATAGCATAGGTACTTTGATTACTCTTTCCTTGGTAAATGTTTTTTCATCTTTTTGCATTTAGATTTTCTGGGCCTTCATATTTAAAAAAAAATTTATTTTGTAAACAGTATATAGTTGTGTTAGTTTTTTCCCAGGCTAACAAGCTGGCCTTATAATTGCAGTATCCAAAGAAATACTGGTATGTTTGGGTTTATTCTTTTCTTATTTGAATTGTTTTATTTCCTGTTTCTCCTTCTGCTCTCTATTAAATTTGTGTTAAATATTCTTTCAGTGACCATTCTAAAAATTAACATGCATGTTTGTGTTTGTTTGTTTTTTTATTTAAAATTTTTAAGGAGGGCACATGATGTGATGAGCACTGGTATTATATTGAACTGATGAATCATTGAACATTATATCAAAAACCAATGATGTACTATACCTTGGCTAATTGAATTTAAATAAAAATAAAAGTA